TCCGATCTTTGTTTGTAACGATGTGTTTGTGTTGTTTGTAACGATGTGTTTGTGTTGTTTGTAACGATGTGTTTGTGTTGTTTGTAACGATGTGTTTGTGTTGTTTGTGACGATGTGTTTGTTGTTTGTAACGATGTGTTTGTGTTGTTTGTAACAATGTGTTTGTGTTGTTTGTAACGATGTGTTTGTTGATTGTAATGAAGTATTTCCAGCGAGGTCAGTGCGAGAGTTGCGAGGTCACGAGGTCGCGAGGTCAATGTCAGGTCGAAGTGGGGGAAGTGTTTGTTGTTTGTAGTGCTGTAAGTTGTTATGCGTGTGCGCGTGTGGTGTTGTGTTGTGCATTGTTATGCGTGGATAGAGCCAGTGAATCTATGATAACGGTAAACCTAGCACCGTGCGTCCGCTGCCGATCCTGTCGGAAAGCGAAATGCTGCGTGGGTGGACATAGTAGCGTCAGTAGAGACACCCAGGGGTAGAAATGAACTTTTGAACAAGGGAGTCCTCAAAATGAGGGAGTCCGCAGTCTGAAGTTCAAAGCTAAAGCATAACAACAATAATGCATGTGCTTATTTTTAAGATTTATGCGATGCACGTCTGCCAAATTTTCTTTCGATATTTGCTGAAAAAATACGGTAATTCCGCGAGGCCGTGCTCTGGAACGAACTAGGCTTAGTTAGCATAGCAGAATTTTCAGGGAGTCACACGAACTCCTGCATATGTCAAATCAGGGAATCCGACAGTAAATCAGGGAGTATTTGAACCCGGACTCCCGTAAATTTTGCACCCTGCACACCCCTACACCTAGTACCGTGTCTGTGTGTTTGCTTCCCCTACAAGTGATATGCAGGTAGAACCAGTAGATCTATAAGAATCTCTCGCGCCTCGCGTTGCAGGACCAAGGTGCACCTGGCTAATGGTATAAATGGCTGGCTGGTGCCAATGTGAATGTAAATGTACGTGTAAATGTAAATGGCTGGCTCGTGCAAATGTAAATGGCTGTCTCGTGCAAATGTAAATGGCTGCGTAGTAGGTAATAGAACCAGTAGATCTATAACAATCTCTCGTCGCGCCTCGCGTTGCAGGACCAAGGTGCACCTGGAACTCGACAACCGCATGTGCGAGGTCGACTTCAAGGACGAGTGCTTCGCGAGCGCCGAGGAAGCCGCCGGCTACCTCGCCGCCGCCTACAGCCGCGATCCGTCCAACGACGAGCTCGGCAAGCTGTACGCGGTCGGCACGGAGGGGCGACCGACGTCCGCTGCAGCGGCGCCCTCTAACCTCATCTACGTCTTCATCGGCGGCACGGTCGTCGTCATCATCGTGCTGATCGTCGGCGTGCTGCTGTCGAGCAAGCGCAAGCGGCAGCGCGGCATCACGTGGTTCCCCGAGGGGTTCAAGAGGTCGAAGGTCAGCCAGCCGAAGGCGGCGGCGGGGCGCGTGGGGCCGGACGGACAGGAGCTGAGGTGAGACTGAGGGCGGTGGCGGCGTCGTGGGTGGTGGGCTGAGCAGGTGTGGGGTGGTCGGTGGGTGGGTGGAGGGGTGAAGGGTTGATGGTTATTAGAAATTGTCCTACTTACGTTCGTAATGTACGTGTGGATGTGTTGACTCGTAGTATATATTTTCTTTGCTTTTTTATTCAATGTTGAATAATAATTTGTTATATTTATATAAGTACTTATTATACTATTATATATATATTATATTAATATTATATTAATGATCTATATAGTATAATATGATATTAGCATATATTATATATTATTATATTGCCTTGATAAACTATATATTTATTATTATCTTATATATTCTCATATATAATCTATTCTGATACCGTAGTTATGATTACACATATTATATTACTTCGTTATAAATGTTATATGAATGTAGAATGCGCACACCTCCGTGTCGTATTTAATGGACGCATGCTGGAATTTCCCCGGTTTTCTTGCTCCGCGCAGAAATCCACAAGCACAGCGATCGAGTCAAGTGGAGGTAGCAGGAAGGAGGGAGAGGATTCGATGCCAACCGACAACACGACACTGCTCACAATTTCCGTCGCCACTGGGGAGTCGGTCCGTGTTCAGAGAGTGGACGAGACAGGGCCTGGAGGCCGACCGCACAAACGGCATCAAGGTATGCTCCCCACAGCGCCACGCCACGCGGCCCCCCCGCCCCCCTTACCGCCACCGCACCCGTCCCGCGGTCCGCAGATTCCCGCCCCACGCCCCGACCCTGTCCCACCCCGCGCCCCGGCCCCCATGCCCCGACCCGTGCCCAGCCCGCGCCGCGCCCCCCACGCCCGACCCTGTCCCTTCCCAGCGTCCATTGTAAGAATAAGTTGTCTGCAAGTATTTAATCCGATGTTGTTTATGCTTAACGACAAGAATTGTCCGACCAAACGCTCTCGAACGCTCTCTTGTCTCATCACGCATCGAACGCTCTTTTGTCTCGTCATGCGTAAAAGCGCTCTCTCATTCTCATGGCCGACCGTCCCCTCTTTTTGTCTCGTTTGCCGAATCGGTATGCTCTCTCCTCCAGGTCCCACCTCCACCCACCCTGCGTTCTTCTCAAGGACGCTCTGTTGTTTCTCGTCGTGCATCTACCCGCCCCGTCATCTCATGTCGTATGACGCTCTCTTGTTTCTTCGCGCTAGAAGGGACGGCGTTCCTCCCGCTCGGCCCTGGCAGCGAGCGACTACGTGCGACAGCTGGACCGCGAGCGCAGCCAGTCCTTGACCGCGGGCGGAGCAAATCCCGCCAATCCCGCGACCTGCTCGCGCTCACCCCCGCGCACGGTGTCCGCAGCGGCCGACGCCGGCCTGCTTTCGTCACATCGAAGGGGGTGGTAACGCGCGCTGCGGCCCCGGGCAGGCTCGTCACCGCCGCTCAATGCTCGTCTCGCTGCGAGGAACGCGCGATCTCGGGACGCATCGACGGACGCACGGACGGAGTATAGGGAGGGGCCGTCGCGGGGCGACCGCCGGAGATGGACGGATGGAAGGACGGGAAAAACGAGGCGGGACACGGGACCCCATCGGCCAGACGACGGGGGTCAGTCGGGTCCGAGATCGCTGAATGCAGGCGGAACGAGCGAGCTGGCTGTGCGGGCGCAGCCGAACGGGATCGTACAGTGTACCTGGAGCAGGGGAGGGCAGAGAGGGGGGAGGACGGTGCAGAGACGAGACGGGAGAGCGGGGAAAGGAAGGAGCGATGGGGGAGGGAGAGGGGGATGAGTGGAGGCAGAGAGAAAGCGGGGAGAGGCTTGAAATCAGGGAAGACCGGAGAGGAAAAGGGGAAGATAGGAGATCCGGACGAGGGAGAACGGGGAAACAGATGAGAAAGCCATGGGGTGGTGCGCGAGTGGAGTGAGAGAAGACGAGAGATAGATGAGAGTTAGAGAGAGATATTAGAGAGACGGAGAGAGAGTGAGAGAGAGGCAGGAGATGTAGGCGCCGATCGAGCGCGCTGGGGAGGACCCGGAGTCTGATGGAGCGAGCGATGAGAGTGGAGAGAGAGAGACGAGATCGATCAGCCAGCCGCCTCCGAAGAACCCGCAGACGGACATCCAAGTACGCCGACCCGCCAGCCACTTTCGACCATCGACGCGTCTCCGTTCCGCGTCAGCGTGAGACGTCTCGGCCAGCCTGGGCCGCTCGCGCTACGAGCGCGCTGCGAGCCGCCAAGCGTCTCCTCGCACGCGCGGCGCCGAAGCGGAACGCCGCAGGACTCACCGGCCGCACGCCCCTTCCACCGCCGCCCCATCTGCGGGCCGACGCGCAGGGGTGTCTTCGCGAGACTCTGCCTGCGCAGGGTTCGGGTGTCTCTACGGAGCTGGGCTGCGGGGTGTTGGCGCGCAGGAGCGAACCTCTGACATCGCCTGCGTCGCATTTTCGAACGACGGCACCTCGACGCCGATGATTACTGGCGCGGGCGCGTCCTACTCGCCGTCGTTGTATTGTGGCTTCCTGGTTTCGCTATGTCGGAGCGAGGCTGAATCGAGGCGCCGACGCTGCGCGACATCGAACGCCGCGCCGACGACCACGGCAAGACGGCGCTGCACTGCGGCCGCGTCCGCTCAACACCTCGTATCGTCGCCCGAGGGTGAGCGCTCGCCTGCGTGGCTCCGGCGTCCACGGCCAACGACGGGAGGGCCAAGTCCGCGACAGTGCGAGGACCACAAGGGGTGAGCGGGTCGGCCAAGGCAGAGGGAGAAGGCGCGCGGCGAGACGATTGGCTGGAGGACGCCCCGAGCAGGGCAATGGAGTGGACGGAGCATGTCTGATTCGAAGATTTGACGGAACCACCGAAGTGTAATAAATTCGATACTTATTTACAGACCGAGTGGGGATATTTAGATATTTATTATTCATCAGTTTGGGTATGAACCAAAAGATATTAGGGAGGACTATCCGCGTAAGATTTTAGCTGTGACATCTGTGAGTGTCTTTGTTGTTCTCAGTCGAATAAACACTCTCAACTGCTTCAAAAACATCCAAACATGTAAATTTAAGCGACCACGCATCGCTGAACCAGCGCGGGTAAGGACGAGATACAAGAGTGGGAGCGGAGAATCGGCGCGATTCGACATCTATCAATCCTGCCGCAAATGCAGCTCGCCGTGCCGTGACGGCTCAAAACCCGTATAGATTCCGCTAAAAATTTTCGCCGAGCTGAGAGCTATTTTTCCCCACAGACTTAGCCAAACAAGAGTCCTCACGGACGTGGAATTAAAAAAGTTATTTTCTTTCCCTGGATCAAACCCATCACCTCAACTCGCGGCTATCCTGTGTTTTGCACCGGATCAGAGACTCCTGCTGTTTCTGCGCTGCACGCGTGAGGCCAGCGTTGGCGAGGGGCCGCCGGCGAAGATCATGACTCGATCACTTCCGCGAACCCTGTGGAGGACGTCACCGACCAGCGGGTTGGATCGTCTGGTGCGCCGCGCCGAGCGTCGCACACGGAGGCGTGCTGCACCACGACATCGTCCCAGCCTCCTCGCCAGGCCAGATCCGCCCGGAGCGGGCGCCGCCCGGCCTCGTTCCAGTCGCCTTGCTTTTCCCGGCAGCTGTCTGCCGTGGCCCGGTTGGCGCGCGGCGTGACCGCCCGACGCGCTATCCACTTCTGCATGCAGATGGGGCAGGCCATCAGCGGGGATGCAGCAGCCGACCTGTGGAAGCAGATTTACCATTGAGCGTGGTTGAAGCATGGGTAATGGCTGACGACGTTCAATGCGGGCAAAAGCTGGAAGTGCCATCAGAAATCAAGGGATCACACGTCGTTTGAGATCGACAGACTTGACCGAGGGCAAGTGGAACTCTGTCTACAGCAACATTTCTGCCAGAAGCTGGGAAAAACAAAGCTGGAGAAGCGAAGTGGCGATCGAGTCGGGGCTGCAAGACGCGGACTGCGTGAGTCTTCTGGGTCATCTCACCGCGAACACCAGTTTACGGGATCCAGGATTAGAGCACGACATCGTGCTAATCGTGGCTCGCGGTTCAGACACGGTAAAGCTGCATGAGGGAAGGGGGGGCGACAGCAAACGGTCGATTGGGGAAATCTCGGTCGGCTAACGCCAATGAGTCGGTCAAACGGCGAACTGTCACGCTGTCCTTCGAACGTTTTGCCTTCGACCGACAAACCCCCGGTTCCGGCTCGCTGTCCCAGGTACATACGCTCTATGCCGCGACGATCGGAGTACCAGACCCTGTAGGAAGGGACCGACTCCGGGTCGCCACCTAAAGGTTTTGCAACTCCACAGAGC